AAGAAATAGCTTATTTTTTTCAATGCCTTAAGGGGCAATTTAGGTGAATAATCCTACATAATAAAGAGGTAATATGCAAATTGATCCTCATGCCCTCACAAGAAGGCTGCCTATGACCAGGCCAGTAGGAAGGTTAGAAAGAGTGCAGCTGGGCTGAGGCCCCCCACCCCCAACCCCCGTGCACAAATTTTGTCCACCAGACCTCTAGCATATTATAATGTTTAAAAGCATGGACTCTGGAATCAGGTAGATCTTTTGGGTTCAAACGCTATCTCTATTACTTAAGTACTCTGTGTGTGATATAGACCAATTTCTGTAATTTCCTATTACCTTAGTTTTCTTAGATGTAAAATCTCTCCTTTTCTTTTACCATCTTCCCTTTTAGCTTCAACATGCACAAATTGCCTCTATTCTAAGAAAACAACAAAAAATTACACCGTCGTTATTCCTTCAACTATCATCTCCATCTCTTTCCGTATCTTCCCTATCAAACTCTTTTAAAATATGACCATGAATTAAATGAATTAATGATCAGACAATAGAATAATAAAAGAGATGGAAAGGGAGGCTGCAGAGATTTTTCCTAAGAAAATGATGAGGACTGAAACACCTTTACAGCTAATAAATAAACTGGAAACAGTGAGCAACAGAAAAGACATAACTGAAATACTGATAAAGGTTTAACATAATCATGGTTAATGTCGAGCAAGAGACAAATATTGAGTAATTTCCCTAAATATCTGTTTAACTGTATCATTCTACCTACCCAGGTCTACTTGTTCTTGGTCTTTGTCATTTTCTAAATTAACATTTAATTTACTTATGTGTTAGGCTAACTATGTATCACCTCCCTTCCTCCCACTAGCATGCAAGTTCCACAAGGGCAGTCGCTTTGTTTTTGTTCAACTGGCACAGAGCAGGGAATCAATATTTGTTGAATGAACTAATGAATAAATGCAAGATCTGAAGACAAAGATACTCCTCCAAAATGATAACCCACCAAACGGGTCAGAAAAAGTATTCTGATGCAATGATAAATTTCTATGAAATGAAAAGCAGTAACAGATATAACTTAAAGGCACTGACTGATGTAACTTAAAGGACATAAAGATAAAATTAAAGGATATAAAGAAAATATCAGTTGTCCAAGCCAATTTAAAAAAATCATCTAGAAGTAGGATTTAAAAAACTACAATACTGTACTTCCTCATAAGAATATCCAGTGTAAGAGAAAATGACTAATGTCTACAAGATATTGAAATAAATTGTTATCCCAGAAATACTACATTCATGCAAGTAGATATTTAGGTGATAAAAGGAACAGGCATCCTGGCAGTGGCTCAGTGGATTGAGCATCATCCTGTGTACCAAGAGGTCACTGGTTCGATTCCCAGTTGGGGCACATGCCCCGGTTGTGGGCTCCATCCCCAATGGGGAGCATGTAGGAGGTAGCCAATGGGTGTTTCTATCTCTCTTCCTCTCCCTTCCTCTCTCTAAAATTTCAATAAAAACACTTTAAAAAAGCAACAGGAAATCATTCCTAAAATCAAGA